GAGAGAGAGAGAGAGAGAGAAAGCGCCTGCTTGCGTATTTGCCTCACAATGTGAACCCGGGTGTCACAAGTGCGACTGTACAAACACGCGCTGCGATATCCGGTGTCGTGCATCCTATCCTTGCGCATCTCTGCACAGATCTCGATGCAGATCTGCTGCCGAGTTCGTAATCCGTGAGGAGATTAAACAAACGCAACTCGCGAAAAAACAAAAATTCACAACTCAGATTTAAGACTACGGTTTCAATTATCGTTTATTCTAAATTTGCTGTCTATTATCAGCTGTTTATTTATGATTTAAACTAAAATACAAATTAAATTTAATTGTTATATTGAAATATGTATGGAATAATAGATATGTTTGATATGTAATAATGTATATAATAACATATATACGTTCTGTATATACATACAATAATATATACATGATAAAATTTGTGTTATCCTGTTGATATAAGAAATTTACATCTATAATCATTTGCCACATTTTGTAGTATCTATGAAGCGAAATTGTTGAACTGTCTTGAATTACACTTCTCAATTTATGCCTAAATTATTTTTGACGAACTATGTTGTATATTAAAAATATACCAAATTAAAAGAAGAAAATGTAATATTTGTATCTGTATTGAAGATATAATTTTTTTATGCTGTTTTCTTCGCTTACATTAATAACCCTTCAATTTTAACTTAAATGTACATAAATATTTATTTTTATTATTCTATCGTGCTAGTGTTAATGAGAACATTAACAGAACATTTTTTTAAAAATTCTTTGTAGATTTTGGAAATATTTTAGAAAAAAATGAAATATAATTGCCGAATTATTTTTTTATTTTTTTGAAAGAAATTAACATAGCTTTTACTTTTTAATTTTATCATTTTCGCCGACAATAAGGGAAAGATTTGTTATTGTTTTAGGTAGAAGTCGAGATGTTGTGATGGCTGGTAGGTCACGACGTTCGAGCACAGAGCTCGAACCAGATCTATCGACGCCAACTGCTTCGAAGAGGCCAAAGCGATCTGAAACTTCATCCGACGAATCGTCTGGAAAGGAGCTAACGGAAGTGAAAAGTACCGAAACACTGATCACGAGTGAGGTATCTTTACAAGCAGAGGTCGTGCTTGTTCCGGAAGGGGACAAACAGCTTTCAGTTACAGAACAAGCAGGAACATCGAAGCAATCAGGCTTGATTAGTGAAACCCCCAGATCCCCAGAATCGATCAAGGAATCGTCCCAAGAGGATCCGGAGCTCGTCTCAACAAAAGTGACCCCGGGCACTTCGAAAGAAGAGGAACTTGGCACGCTGAAATATATTGTAATGAAGTACAGCGATCCAAGCGAATTGTCTGGTCCTTCCGGAAAAAGACCAGAATGCGAGACGACGGTGCGAAGTTTCACGCTGCGCGAACATGCATCATATGAGGACCTGTCTATTATAGGAAATGGTGCTTATGGCACAGTGTACAAAGCTAAAGATAAGACTAGCGGTCAAATCGTAGCGCTTAAGAAAGTCAGGATACCTTTGACGGAAGATGGTTTGCCTATGTCCACGCTAAGAGAGATTGCGGCTCTGAAATCACTCGAACGATATGAACATCCACATATTGTAAGTATTATTTAATTACAAAATAATCTTTGTTATAAAAGAATTATGCTCAATATGTTGAAAGACCATTAATATTTTGCATTTTCCATGAAAAATAGAATATTTTTATTTATTTTTATCACACACACACACCACATATCGACGCGCCCTCCCCCACATACCATCATCATACATACATACATACACCGACACACAGCATACACACAATATTTTAAGGCTAGGTTCTTTCGCCGCAGCCATATTGATTTACGTCATAGGCGAGAAATAACATGCAATAATTTCGTTGCAACGTATAGCTTTATTTCTTAATTTTCTCTTAAAACATAATAATTTCATGATTCTAAAACTTATAAAATGTACAGAAAATTGAGGCATCTATCCGATTTATCACGTAAACATGATAAATCGGAAAATAATGAATTCTTCAGCCATACTTAGCCATCATGGCCGTTTGAGCAATGAAGTTACTACACATCATTTCTCGTCTATGACATCATAAAACTGATATGGCTGCCTGAAATGATTAAGCCTTAACTACGATTTCGATTTTTAATATCATGCAAACATGTACTTATGTTTGCTTCTTTTTATCCAGGTCAGATTACTCGATGTCTGTCAAGGAGATTATCTTCATTTACCATCAGGTGATGGCGCACAATCGGAAAGATTGGATCGTGGTCTCACTCTCTGGTTGGTGTTCGAACATGTGGAAAGAGATCTCGCTTCATACATAGCTAATTGTCGAAATAGCTTTCCGCGATCGGGAATCCCATCATATCTCGTTAGACAAATGTCAAAAGAGATACTCTGTGGCGTAGAGTTCCTACATAGCCATAGAATAATACACAGGGACTTGAAGCCGCAGAATCTTTTAGTAACGCGCGAAGGCAGAATCAAGATCGCAGATTTTGGTCTGGCCAAAACATACGACTTCGAAATGAGATTAACTTCCGTGGTATGTATATAAATATTTTTTATAACATATTACGAATTACTCGTTTTTCGTTGATGAATTTAGATATTTTAATTAATATTTCACATAAAAAATTATATATGAGATCATGTATCATCTCTCATAAACTTTATTCAAACGAGATTTAAAATTGAACAAAAAGCATTGTTATCATTATTATCATTTAATTATTATTTGTTTGTTTAAAGCTTTATGCTTTTTAATTCTTTGGCTTTAAATTATTTCTGTAACTAATAATATATTACTAATTAGTAAGTATTAAATTATTAATTATTTTATTTTATTTTGAAGTATAATATCTATAGTTCATAATGGTTAATATATCCTATATCATTTAATATTAAGAAAAAACTCTGTTGTACATTTAGGTTGTAACTCAGTGGTATCGAGCACCCGAAGTACTTTTAGGATGTTCCTATGCTACTCCTGTTGATGTTTGGTCTGTTGGATGTATATTAGCGGAACTTTGCAAATTGGAACCGTTATTTCCAGGTACCAGTGAAGGTGATCAACTGGACAGGATTTTCCAGTAAGTTAATACTTTCCGTTTCTCTTTCTTTCACAATTTATATTATTTAATATGCTTTTTCTTTATTATGTATTGTATCTCTCCTTTTAGAGTTTTAGGTACTCCGTCGCAGCAAGCGTGGCCAGAGAATGTATCACTCAGTTGGACAGCTTTTCCATACAGACAACCCAAACCTCTCGGTGCAATAATACCAGATCTCAATGAACATGGATTAGACTTAATAAGGAATATGCTCATGTTTGATCCTCATAGTCGTATAACTGCAGCTCAAGCCGTAAGACACCGATATTTTTCCGAGGAAAATGTATAATAACTGTTCTGTAAGTTATCTAGACTTATTGCTGAATTATCAGCAAACTCAGACTGACGTAATTATATTCAGAAATAGAGATGTACATGACTTTTAAGCGTATTACAGTATTGTATATTACAGTACACTTGTAAAATTACTAATAATTATTAAGTATCTAATACGAGTATTAAGAATCACTTCTGCGTACAAATGTTACAACATTATAAATTCCATTAACATTAAAATTAGCGTTAAATTAGATTTAAATTTGTTATGTTAAATAGTAGTCATTATACATATATTTCATGTTAGTTTTATATAATTGGTATTGTGAAATTAAGTTATTAACACTAAATATAACGTAATATTTTTGTGAAAAATAAGTTTATAATATTTAAGTTAATTTATCCTAGGCATACCTTAATGTACAATGCAAAAACGAGACAATTATTATTTTTGATATGTTATTTATTTACATATAATATCTTAATATTTCAGTCAGTCGTCTTTTTATAATGTTAAAAATTATACTTCTTAATAATTCATTCTTTTATTTCACAGCACTTATTACTTAGCTAATTAATAATTTATTAAGTTAAGTTTATTTAGTTATATGTATAGTAATTAATAGTTATTTGCACAATGTGTTATTTACATTGGCTAAGTAAGGTATATATAGTTGCGACAAATCCTATTAAAGATACTATTAGAGATTAGAAAACAATTGTATATGTAACGTAAAAATACCTAATTTAACTTTAGTTCAATGCAAAATTAATAAGTTTAGTAATTAATTAAGTTTAAGATAATATGTATTATAATTTTTTCTATAACTAGAAATATTTCTCTAAGACTGGGGCCTTTGCGACCCATTAGAAACACAGGAATGATTTAAAAATCGTCCGAAAAAACCAGAAAGCGCACTGCCATACTTTATATATTATAAGCCATTGCAATTATTAATAACATATTTTTAATAATGTACAATATTGACGATACGTGTATAAAGCAATAAGTGACAATATTTATATACCTTTAAGGTACATTATCATATTAAAACATCAAAAGTATATAAGCGCATTATTAAGAGAAGACTGTCCTATGAAATAAAAGTTTTATAGTTTTATAGTTTATAGTTTTATAGTTTTACATGTATGTTCTGTCAAGAAAATATAAGCCAATCTCCTTGATAAACATCCATTAGCAAATTTCCTACATTTTAAATTATAAGAAAATATTTGTACTTAATACAATTCCCAGCAACACCGATGAGATTTATTAAAGAGGATCGATCCTGAACAAATTTTCATGACCATCAAAAAGAGTTGCGAGAGATAATAAGTGAAGAATATCGATATTATCAACTATTAATATAAGTTTATGATATTCAATATAAATATTTGAACAATAAATTATTAAATTCATGATTATTTATAATACAAATGTTTTATTAAATATATATATATATATATATACTTATACTACTCTAATATCATATACATTACGGCAAAATTTTTTTTCTACAGTTATTTTTGTAGATAATAAAGCATAGATAACTATAAAAATATAAATTTTAAATAAAATTAAATATGTGCAAGTTGTAAATACATATATTTGTCTAAAAAATATAGACACAATAATAAAACACATTAATATTATCGCATTATGGGTTAATTGTTCAAAATTTTAAGAATCATGTGGTTACGCGACTCTCGAATAAGAGATCTTTAATAGTATCTCATCAGTGCCAGCAATCTCTTTGAGGCGCGATTTGAAATTCGCGCGTCTTGAGATCTCAATCGTGACTGACGCGACATCGACCTTTAGACTATGATAAAATAAAATTTAGAAATAAGAATGCGACAAAGCGGATAAATGCGCATGTGATGTGAAACTAACGACACTCACGATAATAATTATCATAATTGCGATCATTATCATCAGTTTCGAAATGAGATTGTCGAATATCGCCATAAATGCGTATAGACATTTGGCAATACGTGGCAACTTACCAATCTGCTCAGTCAATTGGAGGAAAATGGCGACCGAAGTGGAGAAGGCACAGTCCGCTGCGCCAAAAGGTGATACGATATTTGGGAAAATAATACGCAGAGAAATTCCATGTAATTTTATTTATGAGGACACCCAGGTAAATTACGACGTGACATTCAGATATTATGTATTTTTATTGAATTACATGATAAGTTCGATTCGCCGACATCTACTTGTCGAATGTTTTTTTCACCTACCGGTGAAAAAAATTACAAAGTATTAAACGTCTTATCTTGTGTATAGTATTATGTCATAATACAAAAAGTACGGATAAAGTAAATGACATAAATACATTTTTGAGTATTAAAAATCAATTTAAATATTTTCTAAATTATTATTGATTTATCTAGTTATATTATCTACTTATTATATAACTCCTTCGAGTTTGCTGAATTGTACAACAGATATGTTGACTCACTATGTTTGAAAAATTACTAACATCAATGCAAATGTTTAAAAATCCATAATAATAACTTGATATACGAGAACTACATTTATTTTTAGATTAAAGATTAAATAATACAGTTGATTTCCTGTTATAATCGAACCCAGCGAATGACTTAATAAATAAATGAATGACAAGTTAATCCGAAAACATGTAAAATATCCCATTTATAAGAAATATCCCATTTATAGTAAATAAAAAGATATAAATGTTTATTTACATAAAAAAACTATAATCTGGATAGCTAAAAATTTTATTCAAGCAAGAAAAGTTACAATAGTATTGTAAATGTATATGAAATAATTTCCTATTGCCAGATTTGTTGAAAAATTTTAACAAGAATATTGTTGGTTAAAAAAAAACGATTAAAGTAAGATCAGACAAGAGGAAATCAATCATAGAAATAAATTTTGATTAAATATATTAAATATATTTTTATTATGAAACATGGAGAAAAAGAAAAAAATATTCATTTTATATATATTTTATATCTTACAGTGCGTTGCATTTGATGATGTAAGTCCTCAAGCACCTGTGCACTTTTTGGTGGTTCCACGAAAACCAATTTCACAACTTTCCAAAGCTCAAGACGAAGATGAACCTTTACTTGGTCACTTGATGAATGTTGCTCATAAAGTTGCAAAGCAAAAAGGTTTGACAAATGGATTTCGCTTAGTTATCAACGATGGAAAACACGGCGCACAGTCTGTATATCATCTGCATCTGCATATTCTTGGTGGTAGGCAATTGCAGTGGCCACCTGGCTAATATGTTTATGCATTTAAATATGTACGTTAAACGTAATATGAGAAACATGATTTATTTTATAACATCCTTATCTGCTATCAATAAAGTGTTGAAAATATTGTATAAAAATAATTATCAATTATATATTATGTATTAGAATTATAACTGATCACATCCATAATAAGTTTTGCAGTCATTTTTAATTATTAAAGTGAAAAATATATTTTATAAAAAAAAAATAGGTTTTCTATAATATGAATATGGTTGGAAGAAGTAATTCTGCTATTTATCTTCTTTCATATACTTCGTATACAAATTCAATTCCATTTTCTTTTTGTATGCCTTGTGGTATTGTTGGATCCCTAGGATTAGATATTAAAAAACAATACTGTAAATAAATATCAATTTTAAATATCAATTTTAACATAGAGAAATATTAATACTTACTCAATTAACACAAAGTCGTTTGGAATTGGAGGAAAGAAAGTATCACATTCAAATTTTTTCTTTATACGCGTTAGATACAAACGTCCAAAATATGGAGATTCCATGGCGCTCTGATGTAAAATTTACATAATTGTTATCTAATTTACATATAAATATTACCAATATTTATACGCATTGTATAGAATTATACAGATTAAATAGTTTCTAATTGCACTTAAATGGTTTTTAATTGCACTTTCTATATTTCTTTAAAAAATTTTTTTCTATCCTTGGGTCACGAATAATTGTTTCATTATCAAATATAAAAAAATTTATTATGTAACTAAAAAATGTATTCTTTTTTAAAATATGTACATTATGTTAATTTATACAAAATACCTTGTACACGCTACTTCCTCCTATTACCCATACCCTTTCTATTTGATTCTGCATTTGTGTGATTATATCAAAAGCATGTGATATACTTTTGCATGTTATTGTCTCATTTCCATAATCCCTAAAATTTATATTTAATATATTGTTTTCTGAAGAATTAAACTTTAAATTTCTTTTATTTCTATAATTACAATGATTTCGAAGTTAGCACCATATTTATACGGTCTTTCAAAGGTCGATATTTGTCGGGGATGCATTCCCACGTGCGTCGGCCCATAAGTACGACATTCTTTTTATTTGTATGATTTGTTTCAGTTGTCATACGCGTGAAGAATGCCATTTCCGTCCTATATATAAATCACTTACAAATGTTCATTCTTTCGAATTCAATCACATAAGCAATTTATTAAAAATCTTACTTCAAACGCCAAGGCAAATCGCCATTTATTCCAATACCCATATTTTCGCATGCTGCGGCAATCAGCTCCAATTTATGTGACATGCTAAAATATCCTCTTGAATAAATCTGGTGCAGCAGTTCTGGACTATATAGTAGCACTGTTAAATTTTTGGTTATTTAACATATTTTGATATAGTTAAGAAACTTTGGAATTTTATTTTGCGCGATTGAAGAAAATATTTTATTTGACACAAAATTAAATACTATATACTACTA